TTCAGACCACGTGGCCTAATGGACAAGGCATCTGACTTCGGATCAGCAGATTGAATGTTCAAGTCCCTTTGTGGTTGAAACCCCGCCTTTAGTAGCAAAGATAATCCTTTCCCACTATACATTTAGGGTTCACCATGACTCCCTACTCCATCAAAATGGGCTATGACCAGCAAGACATCCAGGCCGGTTAGCTCAGATGGTCAGAGCGTGGTGCTAATAACGCCAATGTCATGGGTTCAATCCCCATACTGGCCAAAGACTTCCTCATCACAATTTTAACTAAAGGACACTGAAAGAAAACACAAAGAACTATCAGCATATCAAAACCTTAAAAGTCACCTTTACATGCTCAGTGTAGCCTGGGCAAAAAGTTTTCATGTAAAAGTAAATCTACCTTGGAGTTAGTCCCCAAACTAGTCAAAGACATCCTCATCATAATCATGACCAAACTCCTCTGACAGTCGTTTGAACTTGCAATTTATTGTATGAAAAGGTCAAAAATGGGGGGTAAGTGAAATTTGTGACATTTGCACTTTTTTCAGACCACGTGGCCTAATGGATAAGGCGTCTGACTTCGGATCAGAAGATTGAGGGTTCAAGTCCCTTCGTGGTTGAAACCCTGCCTTTAGTAGCAAAGATAATCCTTTCCCCACTATACATTTAGGGTTCACCTTGACTCCCTACTCCATCAAAATGGGCTATGACCACCAAGACATCCAGGCCGGTTAGCTCAGATGGTCAGAGCGTGGTGCTAATAACGCCAAGGTCATGGGTTCAATCCCCATACTGGCCAAAGACTTCCCCATCACAATTGTAACGAAAGGACACTGAAAGAAAACACAAAGAACTATCAGCATATCACAACCTTAAAAGTGACCTTTACATGCTCAGTGTAGCCTGGGCAAAAAGTTTTCATGTAAAAGTAAATCTACCTTGGAGTGAGTCCCCATACTAGTCAAATAACATCCTCATCATAATCATGACCAAACTCCTCTGCCAGTCGTTTGAACTTGCAATTTTATTGTATGAAAAGGTCAAAAATGTGGGATAAGTGAAATTTGTAATTTGTCATTTGCACTTTTTCAGACCACGTGGCCTAATGGATAAGGCGTCTGACTTCGGATCAGAAGATTGAGGGTTCAAGTCCCTTCGTGGTTGAAACCCTGCCTTTAGTAGCAAAGATAATCCTTTCCCACTATACATTTAGGGTTCACCTTGACTCCCTACTCCATCAAAATGGGCTATGACCAGCAAGACATCCAGACCGGTTAGCTCAGATGGTCAGAGCGTGGTGCTAATAACGCCAAGGTCATGGGTTCAATCCCCATACTGGCCAAAGACTTCCTCATCACAATTTTAACTAAAGGACACTGAAAGAAAACACAAAGAACTATCAGCATATCACATCCTTAAAAGTCACCTTTACATGCTCAGTGTAGCCTGTGCAAAAAGTTTTCATGTAAAAGTAAATCTACCTTGGAGTGAGTCCCCAAACTAGTCAAAGACATCCTCATCATAATCATTACCAAACTCCTCTGCCAGTCGTTTGAACTTGCATTTTATTGTATGAAAAGGTCAAAAATGGGGGATAAGTGAAATTTGTGACATTTGCACTTTTTTCAGACCACGTGGCCTAATGGATAAGGCGTCTGACTTTGGATCAGAAGATTGAGGGTTCAAGTCCCTTCGTGGTTGAAACCCTGCCTTTAGTAGCAAAGATAATCCTTTCCCACTATACATTTAGGGTTCACCTTGACTCCCTACTCCATCAAAATGGGCTATGACCAGCAAGACATCCAGGCCGGTTAGCTCAGATGGTCAGAGCGTGGTGCTAATAACGCCAAGGTCATGGGTTCAATCCCCATACTGGCCAAAGACTTCCTCATCACAATTTTAACTAAAGGACACTGAAAGAAAACACAAAGAACTATCAGCATATCACATTCCTTAAAAGTGACCTTTACATGCTCAGTGTAGCCTTTGCAAAAAGTTTTCATGTAAAAGTAAATCTACCTTGGAGTGAGTCCCCAAACTAGTCAAAGACATCCTCATCATAATCATGACCAAACTCCTCTGCCAGTCGTTTGAACTTGCAATTTATTGTATGAAAAGGTCAAAAATGGGGATAAGTGAAATTTGTGTCATTTGCACTTTTTTCAGACCACGTGGCCTAATGGATAAGGCGTCTGACTTCGGATCAGAAGATTGAGGGTTCAAGTCCCTTCGTGGTTGAAACCCCCTTTAGTAGCAAAGATAATCCTTTCCCACTATACATTTAGGGTTCACCTTGACTCCCTACTCCATCAAAATGGGCTATGACCAGCAAGACATCCAGGCCGGTTAGCTCAGATGGTCAGAGCGTGGTGCTAATAACGCCAAGGTCATGGGTTCAATCCCCATACTGGCCAAAGACTTCCCCATCACAATTGTAACGAAAGCAGACTGAAAGAAAACACAAAGAACTATCAGCATATCAAAACCTTAAAAGTCACCTTTACAT